ATTGAGGTGAACTATTTTTCCATATGCACTATTGCAACCATAAGAGGTTAAAAAACTATGCATTGATGACCATACTATAATAACAAAATAAGCTATACCTTTCTCCAGCTTCTGTTTCCCAATGATTTCGACTACCAAATGATCCTTCATGACAATCCAACCAAGTAACGCCTTTCTCTTTTGCAATATAACTAATTGGTTTTGCTAAATTTAATTGAAATTCTCTATCAATAATAAGAAAACCTTGATGCCTAATTCTGTATTAAAATAATTTAAAAGAAACAATAATCACATAGATATTTATACAAAGTCTTCCATTCCATTTCATTATTTTCTGTTGGCGGAGGAACGTCTGTACTTGTCTCTTCGTCCTGTTCGGTGCGCGAGTATAACGATCTTAAAGATGAAGCTAGATAGAATTTTCTTTTTAGAAAATAATACATAATTTGAACTTGATAGAACATTGTATCTTAAAGTATATAAAGGACTTGTGAATGGTCAAAAATATGTGCTTCTGAGATTTTCAAAAATGATAATGCTTTCACCTGTTTTAGATTCCGGAACAGAGGTAAATAATTGCTTCAAAGTTTCATCTTCATCTAGATCCTCTTGTGCTTCTGCGATCCTACTTTCGGGATATTGAATTTTACACATTAGTTGCCAGACATAGTCATCCTGAAGAAGTTTATGAAATTTTCTATTCGCCTATTTATTGAACAAGTAAAATAAAAATCATAAGAAAAAAAAAGTTAACCTATTTAAAACCAATAGAAAATCAAAAGTTCATTACCAAGGAGATAGAACAAATATCCTCCAGATTAGTATGCCCAAGAATTTCCATAAGAATCTCATTAGGGAGGCTTAAAAGAAATCTTGATGCTCCGGAACTCGACATTTTCTACAGAATAGAAATAGAGACATAGGATTGCCGATTAAAGTTTATATACTGTATGTATAAGGCTAATTGATCAGCGTTACGTATCTATGATTGTTATTTGCATTTTTGTTTATTTATTACCGTTTTTGAGTACTTTTAAATAGAAATCCCAAAAACTGAAATTACGCATTTCTTTAATGCATTTCATGTGATTTTTTATAATACAAGTTATTGTTTTTTAAAAAATGCTGTATATAATAATTATAAATACAAAATTGTTGTTGTTAGGGGTAAAAGTTGAGCCGATTAGGCTGCAAACGCGATTTTCGCGTAACGCGTCTAATCAGGGGTTTAATCACGAAGTAGACTTAGTAATCTTAAAGTTTAAAATTAGAGTTGCAAATGTCGTAAGTCTAGTGTAGTCTATAGAAGTGAATCACGGGGATGACGTCACAATAAGTGAAAAGAGGAGGGTTATAGATAAATAAATAGATAGGATGAAGTAGAAGTGAGCAAGACATAACAGCATTTAAGCGAGACATAAGAACACTTATCAGAGACATAATGGCATTTATGTGAGACATAACAACACTTATCAAACACATAATGGCATTTATCTGACACATAATGGCATTTATCTGACACATAATGAAAGCATGACAGTTAGTTAATTAGAATTAGTAGAGTTAGGGAAGAGAAGTGTGAAATAAAGACAAACTGTTTCTAAATTAAGATATTCCTTTTTCAGGCTGTGCGATAGATGTTGCCTTAAAAGGAAAAAGTTAATTAAATCTTATCTGAATCCAGTACTTGCCATGAAAGAGGAAGACACCAGGGTCCCTAGGGAATAGGAAAGTAGGGAAGGTTATTAAGGAAGTGCAGTGACAAAAAGAGAAGAAAAAGAAGAATTAGAAAAAATATCATTTCGGCCAAGTCAATAATATATGCCTCAAGGAAGCCTTATCAAAATCATCAGAACGTGATGCAAGACTGCGATGAAAGCAACAGACTTGTTGAAAATAACCCCAATACTGTATATAATAATTATAATACAAAATTATGTATAATAAATTTCAAGTTTAAACTTAAAACTTTTTTTGAAATCTTTACATGGAAATTTGTTTAAATAAATTAATTAATCAGATTTTGTTTTTATTTATTTATTAAAAAATCAATAAATATTAAATATGATATCTTAATTTTAATAATAAATGCTATTAAAAAATATAATAATAAGTTGTTGTTAATAACAAATTACTATTATATATTATTGAAAAAAACAATTAAATTTGTTGTAAAGTAAATAAATATTTAATATTTAATATATATAATTTTATTAAAAGTAATATAAACTAAAAAATTTATAGAATTGTAATAATTAAAATATTATTTAATTATTTAAATTCTTTATTTTTTTAAACAAATATTTGTATTGTTTTATTTTATATTAATAAAAAGTTCAATGAATTAATTATATTTGTATTAAAATAATAATTATAAATTATAAAACTCAATAAAAAAATATAATTTTTTTCATTAATTTTATAATTTATTTTTTTTAATAAAAAACAAATATTAAATATAAAATTTTTATTAAACAAAAGTATTAATAAAATTTTTATTAAATTAAAAAAATCAAATAATTCTATTATTTTTCTTAAAAAAAATATTTTTATATAAATATTTATTTAATATAAATAAATATGATAATAATATGATTGCTTAAATTAATAAAACAAATAAGAATTGACTTATCTGATTAATTTATTATTAAAAATAAAAACTTTTATCTAAAATAAAATTAACTAATTATTTTTTTTTTTTACAATTCTAATAAATAAAAAAATATATAAAAAATTAATAATAATTATAGTATATTAAATAAAAAATTATTTCTATTAATATTATTTAAACAAAACTATTACTTTCAAGTTTTGCTATATATAAATTAATTATAAAATTAAATTAATAAAAATTAAGTTATAAAATAATAAAATTTATAATAAAATTTATTAAAAATTAAATATCTTAATAATAAAAATCATATAAAAAAACCTTTAATTTAATTTCTTTTTTGCTTATATTATTATGGGGAAATCACGACGAGTCAATCGCTTCGGTCTGTAACAATATGGTCTTGTTTCTGCTCAAAAGAGGCGTGTGAATTTGGCCAGAGTTCGTAACGCCGATGCAGATCAGTTCATCGATCTTGCGTCCTCAATTATTACTTCCTCGTGTAGCAATTCCATTAGCTACAAACACTGGGGTATTTTCACAAGACAGTTTATTAATTATCTATTGCACAGTACCTATCCTAATTATTTTTTACTTTTTGTATATTCTCAAGTTGCTTATATACATTTTGACTTTATACCAATTATACCTATTATTCCTGATATATTATTTATACCAGATATACCTTTTATATGTGATATACCCTTTATACCTGATATATCACTTATACCTGATATACCTACCCTTATAATTTCCTATCATTTACCTATCACATTTTCCCTATAACAATATATATAAATATAAAAAATTTAACAAATTTTTTTTATTAATTATAATTTATTAAAGTTATATTATTAATTAATATTATTATAATATTAACAATAATAATAATAACAAATTGTTATATATCAATGTAATAAAAGCAATTTAAAAAAATCATTAATATAAATATAAATAAATAATAATTGTAAACCTATCTAATAAATATTAAATATATATTAAAAATTTAAAAATTATATTTCAATTGATTTTTAATTACTAAATTTACTAATTTATATTAATTAAAAAATATTTTAGAATATATTAGAAAATATATATTAAATTTAAATTTTTATTTTGCTTACAACTAGAAAAACTAAAAATATAATATAAAAAATTAATTATATAATATTAATATTTTTTTATTTTTCTAAATATATTATATAATCAAATATATTATTATTTTTATTTATATATAATTTTATTATTTTATATATAATATAAATAGTTTGATATATAAAAATATTCTAATCTATATGACAATAATCTTTGTCCTTATTATAATACTTATCTTAAAATAATAACATATATTTTTTTATATTATCATATCATTAACTATATTAACAAGAAAAAATATAAAATATATATATTACTTGTTAGCAGTCTTAATAAAATTCTATCACAAACAAATTTTTCTATAATATTTTTCATTACAAGTTCTATAATATTCAACCTAACTATAGGAAACTTTCAATCATCTCTTAATTTAATCAAAAAAAAGTCAATGTCTCAAATAAAACCTCAAAATTCTATATTAAATCTGGAAACAAAGATTAGAAATAACTTTCAGCTTACTATTTCAAATATAAAATAAAAAAAACAAAGGTATCTGAAAGTTTATATTTAAATTATATTAATCTAAACTTCAAATTTCAAAAAGTATTAAAAATATTCTAAATATAAATAATAACTTTACTAATAAGTCAATTTTTATTTTTTAATAATTTTATTATTCTAAATAAATATTAATTATTTGGTACTAGTTTTATAAACATATCCTTGTAATATAAGTTGATAATAAAGATAGGTCTTGAAACTATTTAAAATATAAAATTTTGCAAATCAATTATATCTTTTTTAAAAGGGACAGAATTATTTACTCTTTTTTATTTTAATAGAAATATAATTCAAAAAAAAATTTAATTAGATAGTCTAAACCATATATGTGGTTGTATTACTATAAAAGGAAATTTAATTAACAATACGATTCTGAATTAAATACAAATTTCAATTATTTACTATATATTACATAGTAATTCTACCATAATATGGTTTTTGAAAAATGATTAAATTCAATTCTATCACATGTATAGTCTAAACTGTAAAAAACCTTTATAAATATTTATTTATTTATTTTTATATTTAAAAAATTTTTTTAAATATAAAGAACATTTGAGTTATATTTTTAGTTTAAAGATCTATTTTTAGTTAATAGTATTAATACAATTATAATAGATTATAATTAATTTATATTTTCAAATATTGTTAATATAATAGCAATAAAACTTATATTTAATAAAAGCTTCACATTTAATGCTCATTTGTGATAATAAATAAATAAATAAATAAATAAATAATTTGATACTATATATAGATTATATTAAACTTATTTTGTATAAAAAAAAGAAAATAGTTTAAATAAATAATAATATTAATATAAAAATATAATTTATTTATCTATAATTAATAACAATTCTCTATAAATTATTGTGAAAAATTATAGAGATCAAATTTATTTAATTATAAAATAATAATTGATTCACTAATTTTAATATATGTTATATTTAATCAATTAAATTCATATTCAAATTCAATAAAACTATATAAAATAAAATTTTTAATTTTTTTAATAATTATAAAATTAAAATAGATTGAAATAAAAATAATTATATAAGAACTAATTTTTTATTTAACTTTTATAAAAACTTTATAGTCTTAATTAATATAATAAATTTCATAATATTGTTATAGGAAAAATATGATAAGTAAATGATAGGAAATTATAAGGATAGGTATATTAGGTATAAGTGATATATCAGGTATAAAGGATATATCACGTATAAAAGGTATATTTGGTATAAATAGTATATTAGGAATAATAGGTATAATTGGTATAAAATTAAAATATATATAAGCGACTTGAGAATATACAAAAAGTGGAGACAATTAGGATAGGTACTGCATAATAGATAATTAATAAACTGTTTTGTGAAAATACTCCAGTATGTGTAGCTAATGGAATTGCTACACGAGGAAATAACAATTGAGAACACAAGATCAATAGACTGATTTGCGTCAGCGTTATGAACTCTGGCCAAATTCACATGTCTCTTTTGAACAGAAACGAGACCCTATTGTTACACAATATGAGACAGATCAAAGCGACTGACTCATCGTGATTTCCCCATAACAATATAATTTTTAAAATTAATATATTTTAAATTAATACTTTAAAATATATTTTA